CTCAGAAAGAAAGCGGAGAGTATACTCACAAGATCAAACCCTGTACCTTCTTCTAATGATTTTCTCATATTACCGACGTGTAACATTTCCCAGGTGATCAGCAGATACTTCGGCAATACAGTGAGAATCGCCAGCACCTCCGGGAATAAGATACATGGTATGATACGGGACAAGAAGCAGCCCGAAAACAACCCTAACAGTTCTGTATATCGCATACCTTGCAGCAGATGCGATACAGCATACTTTGGTGAAACAGGCCGTGGTTTCAGCACCAGGATCAGCGAACATCGAGCTGACATCCGTCACCATAGGACTTCCAACGCCATGGTGGTACATATAGATGAAGCTGGACATCTACCCAATTGGAAAGAAACGAAAATAGTCCATAGGGGACTGAACAGGCAGAAAGAAAAAAACAAAATATGGAAGCTGCTTACATCGCGACGGAGAATAACATCAACGCAGCATCGGGCAGATTCAAACTATCCAAGGTCGCGGCAGCAATTACACGAACAACGAGCGGGAGTCACAGACGTCAGGTGGTTCGTCAGCTCATGTCTGATATATTTATATTCTGTAATTCCTTTGATGTATGTAATTCTGGCGAAGATATAATCGAAACCGGTCAAATACATCTCTTGTATTGCGAAGATATTCTCATTCATACCTTCTCTACATTTGTCAACATGAATACGGGTCATATATATATATATATATATATATATATATATATATATATATATATATATATATATATATATATATATATATACATATGCATATATTCTTATTGATATATGCATTTATATATGAATATATATAAATATATGCACACACACACGCATATATATATGTATGTATATATATATATATCAGTGAATATATATAGAGATACAGAAGGGCAGGGAAACAGACGTAGATATAAAAGAGCAATAAAGGAAGAAAGAAAGGAAAGAATAAGCCCTTAGCCACACATAATTAAGGCCTTCGTTTTGGAAATCGATGTCACACACAAAGAAAAAAAGCGAACGCAAGCTCTCTGAACGATGCCTAAGAACCGCCAAAATTAAAACCCCGCCAATATGATAAACATCCATAGAAAACGCGGTTCGATTCGCCAAATTTATAGCTCCGTGAAAGAAAGTGAGAAAAAAAAGAAAAGGAGAAAGAGAAAGAGAGAGAGAGAGAGAGAGAGAGAGAGAGAGAGAGAGAGAGAGAGAGAGAGAGAGAGAGAGAGAGAGAGAGAGAGAGAGAGAGAGAAAGAAAGAGAGAGAGAAAGAGTCTTATTTATATCCTAAAGCGAATTATATCAAAGCCCGATAACAGAGATAAGACACACGGTCATTAGGCAAGTTGCAAAGGGCGGATGTCGATAAACAGGCGAAGGAGAGAGACAGAGGAGAATAAAAATAGAGAGTTGAAAGACAAGATTTGAGTTATCATTTCTTTATTTTTTCTTCTTAATTACTTGGTTATTTATAATTATTATTTTAGATATTTTTCCCTGTAAATGCAGTCAAAGATCAATTTAGTGTGCATGTGGAATTAATTAAAGACAGACAATTCACTGATAACATGATTAATATTTCCATCTTAAACAGACAGTTTTTGCAAGCGACAGATAAGTAGACAGTTCGATAGATGGATGGATGAAGAGAGAGAGAGAGAGAGAGAGAGAGAGAGAGAGAGAGAGAGAGAGAGAGAGAGAGAGAGAGAGAGAGAGAGAGAGAGCGAAAGAGAGAGAGAAAGACAGACAGACAAACAGACAGACAGACAGACATAGGAAAGAAACAGGACAAGCCGATAGAGAATCAAACCAACTTTTAGAAAGACAGACAGAGAAGAAACGGAAAGAAGAGAGAAAGAGAAAGACACACACACACACACACACACACACACACACACACACACACAAACTGCTTCCGGACACAAAATTCGAGGAGCTAAGGCCTACGGAACGCACGAGGACACCGCGACGGGGGAAAACGACACCTATGGCAGTAGATCACTAAAGGCGAGATTCCCTTACACCCGAGTAAGACCCTCCACCGTTCTGAAGGCTTATGCTGCTCACTGTGTTCTCCGTGTAGACGTCCAGCTCGCCGCCGTAATTCTGTCGAGAGAGAGGTGAGGAAGAGGAAGAGGAGGAAGAGGAAGAG